TATATTGGTTAGAGCCATTATTATTACGACTAACTTAAATAAAATGAATAAATATGAGAGATAAAATAAATTGGGATCTTATACTTAGGACTAAAATAAAAGTCAAATGAATTCTTATATTAAAGATTGAAAATAGTATTTAGAATTTAAAATAAGATTATATTAGATTTCCAACCATGACAGTTTAGCAATATATAAATATAAATAAATAAAAATAAAACTAAAATAAATTATATGTATATTTTTTTTTTTTGGAAAAATTATTGTAGAATCTCATATAAAAGAAATAATCACTAAAAAGTGATGAAATCTTCAAATAATTGTTAATCCCTAGAAACCTGAGTGTGAGAGATTCGAAATGTGCACTTTAACAGCAAAATAATACACACACACACATGTTTAACCCTTCAATGTTAATACCGTTAATATTATCAAGAAATGGTCTGTGGATATTTTCTTGGAGCAAAGGATTAGGAATCATATTGATGACCATGGAAAATCCTTAGTTGGTGCAATTTGTCGGGGCATTTGGAAGGGGAGATGTGATTACGTTCTCAATGACATTTGAGTGGATCCCATGAGAGTCACAACAGATGGATCTTTCACAAGGCAAAATGAAGAGGCAGGCATAGGAGTCATCTGTAGAGACAGTCATGGTGCTTACTTGGGAGGAATTAGGAGGAAAGTTAATGATAATCGGTCTATTTGAATTCACGCTCCAAACTACTTATAAGCAGCCTATTGCAAATAAACACATTTAAACAATTTATACTTTGTTTGGATGATCTTTATGCCCATTTGATTTATGAGCTAAAAGCTCATTTCAATTGCACGATTTTAAAAGCTATTTCATCCTACTTATTACTTTTCAAATTGTGCTTAATAGGGGGTCAGTAAGACTATCTCTCTGCCTTCAATGTTGAAGTCCAATCACTGTTCACCCTTATCTGTTTTTTTTTTTTTCACCTATATTCCTTGCTCTCTCCCCCCTCTAAGATTCTTTATCTTCCTCACTTTACATTGTTCCCCAATCCTTCCCATCTTCATTTTCAGTTTTGTGGGCATGTTTTTGGGGAGTTTGATCAAGTATGTTTCATTTAATTTTTCAAAATTATGTTTCACTTTATATTTAGAAAAAAATTTATAATATTCCTAACTTTTTAAAATATATTTCAGTCATTAAATTTCACTCCTTCCTATTAAAATAATTTAAATTCATCATATTATGTAAATTTATTTTTTTGTCATTTTTCACTATTTAATACCTATTTTGGTTTTTTTTTCCAAACTAAACTCATTTATTTAATCATAATCTAAACTACTTTTATTTTTACAAACTAACTTTTACAAAATTCAATCCAAATATAAATAGCATTAACCAATTTCACTTTTTCAAAAATCAAATGAAAAATAAGTTTTTTTTTTTACTACCAATCCAAACAGACCCATTACTGCTTTTCAATCCAAATGCATTGCTTTTAAATTTGGTCTACTTATTTGTGACAAATTTTCAGATCATAAAATTATTATTGAAATGGATTGTGAGAAACTTTTTATATTAATTCAAAATAGATCTCTAGATAAAGTAGAGTGACAAAGTATTTCGTTTCTTTCAAAATCCTTCAACTGATTAATCTGAAACTAGACATTTGTTTTTTCTTAGTTGCTAGGCAAGGAAAATCTAGCAGCTATTGGCAAGAGAGGGATGGCATCCTATGGATTGGTCATGACGGTACCATCTAATCTTCAAAGTATTTTAGATAATGATTCAGTTGGTGGAAGGAGAAGGAACCATGGTTGCTCGTGGCTTGCAAGGTACCATCTAATGTTTCTTTTTCGTCTAATTTTGGACTTGGTTTTTCTTTATTTGTTCTTTAGTCCTTTAGACTAATTGTACCCTTTATTTTGTTTTTAATAAAATATCCTTTTGTTGTTAAAAAAATACTGTTAATATTATTTAACAAAAAATAAAGTGAATCTTCAAAAAATGCAGGATGCCTCACAGGATGTCATATGTGATTTAATGATCCAACATGTCAATTTCAGTTAAAAAGATAACAATAAATCAATGACAAGAGATTCATAATTTTTTTTTAAAAAATTAAGGATGTTAAATTTAAACTTTCAAATGTGAAGGGTTATATATAGTTGACCTAAAATTTATAAGAGTTCTGTATAATTTACCCTATAAAATATTAGTAGCATGGATTCTTCTACCATATATAATGAGGGTGTGTCAAAAAGAACAAGTCTCATTTTGTTCAAGAGTATGGGAGCACAAGGGTATAAATATTAACTTGTATTCTTGGGCTAGTGAATGGGCTTAAAGAAGAAGGAGGATCTCATGAGCATGACCATGAGCCATTGGAGGCAAACGCAATGGAAATCTGGTGATCCTCCCGCACGAATTAGAACGGGACAAGGCACCTTTTTAATTAGAGGTTTAATCTGAAATTAATTTGTAATAATTTTAGAGCTTACTTGAAAGTAGAGGTGAGAATACAGAGCAACTCTGCAGAGCTGGCGGGCTTCAAAGGGTCAGCCTTACAGGGTCAAAATTTTAAAAATACCTGCAATTTGCTAGGCCTGGCCCTTAAACTCATAGGCTTAGAGCCAGCCTACAGGCTTTCAGCCCATTTAAGGGGAAAAAAATGCTATTTTTCATATTTCTCACATTTTTTATTAAAAAATGAAAATAAACCAATGAAATTATTAATAAAAGACATAAATATGAATAAAATTAAGTCATAGATACAAAATATCATCATATATAAATATCCATCAACATCTAAGAACATCTACATTCATTAACAAGATAACAACATCCAAAAGTTTCATCTATAGTGCAAATATGCAATAAACAAACACTATCATTAATTTTTTGAAACTTCATAATTACTATAATCAATTACTCTTCTTCATAAGTATGCTTTTCTTTCATAACAAAAATATCAAGTTTTCCTTCTTTATAGGAATTTCACTTTTAAATTTTGCAATGTAGCTATTATTTTGCTTTAGTTTGAGAAATATTGTTGTTGAAACTGATAAATTTCTAATTAAAATCATAAAATCACAAGTTATGTAAGTATAAAAATACTCTCTTATCACATATATATATATAGTTTAAAAATATCAACACATAATATAAATCAAATCATTATAGTAGTCTAAATTAGCCCATTTTTTAAAAATTTAATTAGACAAATTATTTTCTAAAACTAAATAAATCAAACCATTCTGTTAAATTTAATTTTAAAATGATAATAATAACTAAATATTTGGAAATATTATTAACAATGTAAAAAATTAATAATATTAAAAGTACACAACAATTTTTTTAAAAAAACCAAAAAAAATTATAAATGGCCTAAACGAGGCCAACCCGTTTAAGCCCTAGGCCCTACAAAACTAGTCCTATAGAGCCTATTTCTCATTTTAGGAAAAAAAATTTCTAGCCCAGCCCTCATAATTTTAGGGCTTAAATGGGACGGCTCGATAGACTTGGCCCGTTTTCCCGGCTCTACCTAAAAGCATGGTTTATTACATTTGATTTTTTTTTTGAAATCCTTAAAAATGTAAAGACTTCAATGCTACCTGAACGGATTATCCTTTAATTGCAGTAACGGATTTTGTCTTAAACTGATATTAATGTGTCTTAATTACGTAATGTTTAGAAAATGTTCAGAAACCACTACATTAAGCACCTTCCTAGCTGCAACGTTCGAAACAGTGATATTAATGTGATTAATCTGTGTTCAATGGTGTAGTGGGTTGAGGCCTATATAAGATGCTTCCAGACAAAGGCTTAAGCATCCGCACTTGAGCTTTCATGTATACCTTCTTCCTCCTTTGAAATTTATGTTGCCTAGCTGGGTTTACCTTTTACCTTCTGCTATTCTGTTCATCCTATTCTTACAGGAGGAGTTCGTTTAATCCTGGGGAGTGCTGCTTTCTTATCTATCGATGGTCACAAAATAACTCTTAAGGACAGCATTCATAGGACTTGACTTGGATTAATTATTTTCTGTAAGTGCTATTGCCAACATATTTCTCTTTTAAAAATATTAGTGGAAGGCATAGCAAAAGGAGAGTTTTGTATAATTTACCATGACCATCTTCCCATCACAGGGAATGATAGTTGACAACTGTTAAATTTTACTCCATTTCTACGTAGTAAGCAAATCCATCTCTCACAATAAATTCAATATTACTCCTATGATATATGATATATAATTTTCTAAAAATTGATTTGATCCAAAATATAAATTTAGTTTGATAATATTTATAGCATTAAATATTATTCTCCTATTTTACCCTTCTATACAATTAAAGTTTATAAGTAATTAATTTAGGCTAAATTATACTTTTGGCCTTATAAATTTACATGAAGTTTTAGTTTAGTTTCTTAAATATAAAAAGTGTCTTTTAATCCTTTAATTTTAATATTGTTACTGTTACTTACAGAAAATGCTAACTTAGCAAATTGAAGTACTAACCATGCAACTTGGCAAATTTTGGTGGCAACTTGTATGAAAAGGAATTAATTTCCACTCTTATTACAGTGATGTGAATGATAATATCCATTATTGTAGTCAGATTTTATCGCCCAAATGCACTTTTAATAATTTAGATTCGAAATTTTCAGTTAATAATTTTTAAAGAAAAACTAATTTTTTTTAAATTAATATTGCAGATCATCTTTATTTTACAATTATTTTTTTAGAAAAATTTTAACATGTACAATATATAAAATAAAAATGATCTTTTCATTGTCAATTTTTCAAGATATTAGTTTTTTTTATGTAAAAACCATCATTTAAAAATGTCAAATCTAAATAATTAAAACTATATTTTGAATGGTAGAGATCTCAAAACAAGCACTATTAAGGTAAAAGGGACAGTGCCAATGGAAATGATTATGATAAGGATAACTATGGATTTATTATCATTACGATTGGTCCATAAAAAGCGAAGCAAGAGCCACGCGTACATAATGCTGTTCATGAGTAGCAGCTCTATATACTGCAACCTCCTCAACAAGCATATAACACCAAAGCAAGCAAAGCACACCACACCACACCACACCACTCCAGTTTAGTTACTAGCACCTTATTTATATAAATAAATATATATATATATATATATATATATATATATATGTTTAAAGGAGAAGTAGTAGTATCAAAGCTTAAGCAAAGTGGTGTGGCTTCTCCAAGTCCTCCAGGCTAGTTGGGCGGAACCAGGCCTTCTCCTCCAGCACGGAGGCTGCACCGGCATTGGCGGTGGTCGACGATTGGTGGAAGTTGTTGCTTCCGGTGGCAGAGGAAGCAGTAGGAGTAGGAGAGATATGGTCGGTTGGAGGCCCAAATACCCCAGTTTGTGGGTGTGGAGCCCAATATTTGTCGGAATGGGCTGCTTGGATTACATCGTCGGGAACTACAGTTGGACGAACTTGATCATCAAAATTTTTCTCGTACAGTGTACTGTAGGCCGCCCTCCTGCATCAATTCGTTTAAAAATTTAGAATTTTATTATATGAATTTATTTAAAATTTAAAATTCAGAATTTTTAAAATATAATAATCTTCTGGTCATAAATATAAGACCCATTTTATAGTATTTACACTATAAAATAGGTTTTATATTTGAAACTCAAGGGAATAGTATATCTTTTGAGGAAAAAAAAATTGTTGATAATATATCTCATGAGAACTCCGATAAATTTAGATATAAAGAGTTCAGCTCAGGAAAAAAAAAAAGATATAAAAAGACAAGTAAAATCTGAAAAATCAGTTGAAGTTTGAGTATTCTAACATCGTAATCCTTGCATGTAATTCATCCAAAGGTAATGGATTGTCCATAAGATCACGTGACAAACACATGTCAGATGGGGTTAAAAACTTAAAAGCAAGAAGCTAACCCAGTCAGACGGTGTTGATCAAGTTGGATTAGGTTGGGTTGAAGTAGGTTATGCTAAACAATTGAGTTTTATCAGTAGGGATAAGAACTGGTAAAAAAGGTATTTATATTTAGTATATGATAATGTTTCAAGCAAAATTACTTTTAATATAAGGATACTTATACTTAGCCAAAAAAAAATATCAAGGACTTGTTTGATTTCTTGTTTTGAAAATAATTTTTTGTTTTTAAAAACAGAAAAATAAAAAACATTGTTTGGCAATTTGTTTTTAATTCATTATTTTAAAAAACAAAAAAACAATATTATGTTTTTAAAAACTGAAAAACCAAAACAACTTTTATATTTTTTTGTTTTTGTTTTTGTGTTTTTTGTTTTTTTGTTTTGAAAAAAATTGAAAAAAATCTTCTTCTCTTCTCCTCTACTACCTACTATTTATCACTACCAATGATAACTACTATTTGTCAAAATATAGTTTTTTATATCTTTTTTTTCAAATATGATTTTTTAAAAATTATTTTCCAAACAAAGTTTTTCGCTTTTGGTTTTCAAAACTTGTTTTTAAAAACAATTTTATAAAATTGTTTTGAGAATAAGAAAACAAAGAAAAAAAAACAAACAGGCTCCAAGCTTTTGCACAGCCCCATATCAATGTTTAGAATATTAGAAGGTATTTCCCATGCCTTCTTTGGTCTTTTCACGTCACACTAATAATGTGATATAGCCAACAAGCAGGCTGGTGAAGGGGCCTGATAGCACATGCGTTTTCCCATCTTACCTGCCCCACACACCTTCCTTCAAAAATAATTTATAATTCCTAATTGGGTATTTAAACAAACAAATCAAATCAATATACTCTATTAAATTCATCAGGCACTGCTCAAAGAAATAATTAAAATTAGTAGCCACTACCTTAAAGAGATCTTCATTGAATCTACTCTATTGTTCTTATCTTCAAGGTCAGCTTATACACAAATAAAAATAACATCATGATTGCAAATTCTGACTACTAAAAATTTTGAAAACACGTATATAAAATCTGGGCAATCCGGATTCTGTTGTAATGGGAAACAAAGCAGCATCATTGTGCTGCTGTTTCTATAGCAAGATGCGTGTCTAGTAATAATACCTCGTGCAATAGTGCAAGATATACAAGTTATTCAGAAGATTGATTATGAAATGGGCCTTGTTTCCACATTTGCATAGATTTAAAATATTAGTGCCTCAAATAGAATTGTCTCTAATAAAAAGATACCTATATGTTATTAAAAAATAAAAAATAAAAATTCAGGCAAAATTAAAACCACAGGTATGCGGTAACAGCTACTCATTAGAATGCGCTTTAAATATTAGAATGCATTTTCCATGCCTACATTGTCGTCATGTGTGAAGTGATAGCCAGCCAATAACAATTCGAGAAGGATCTTAGAGAGAAGATAAAGTGGGTCCTCTCTCTCTCTATATATGTTTATGTTCTTCCTTCAGGCCTTTGCTTTATCTTCTTATCACTGGAAAATGTTTTCAAGTTTAGATTTTACTGTCCAGGCAATTGCCATCTTAATTCTGATCATCATCTATAGCTACCCCACGTGCTTTCTTCAAAAAGTAATTGATAATCCTAAATCCTCAAACAGGATATAATTATAAATTAAAGAAACAAATAGAGTAGTTAATACACTTATTGGGCATTAACTAAGGCGAATCTTAATTGAATCAACCCTACACAATTTAAGTTTAACGTCAATTTATAAAAATTGATACGCCGTGAAAGATTGATTTGGTCCCCAGAATCATTATCCCTCACAGAATCTGTATTTATAAGAATGACACGTGTCTTTTTACACCCGAAAATATCACTGCACGTCATTACTAGAGGCAGGGAAAACAGGCACCATGCATTGAATAGAAAATCAGAGTCAAATTTGAGCGTCTGAAGTAAGTGAAAAGGTCAAGTTAATGACAAAATATATGGCACTGCTTTGAATACAAGAAAGCCTGAAAATGACGGCATTTTGTGGAAAAAATATCACGGTGATAAGAATAATGAATAGTTATATATATATATATATATATATATAAACTGCTACACATTAAAAGAAGGATCATATATTATCTTTAATCTCCTTAATAATTGAGGAAAAAGAATAATGAAATATCATGAGCCAACAAAAGTGGGCAGTGAGGTCACAGGTCACACTGATTGACACAAACTGTATCATGGTGTCGTTTGGTAACGTGAAAAAATTATAGTACATAAAAATTCTTAACTATAAGAACCAAAAAAAAAATCAAATAATATTTATTATTAGGAATTAAAACTTTATGTAACAGATGGACTTTTTTTTTAAAAAAAAAAGGAAAGACAAAACGTTATTTTCCATTATGCTTTTGATTTACATAATGGAAGGTGGCTGTACTCACCAAATAGACAACAATTCTTGATGTAATGAACACACTAACTCAAAGAAAAATAATTTCCTTTGGGTCTTTATTTTTTAAAAAGTTTTTTTGCTGATTTCAAAATGTGTGTGTGTGTGTGGAATTTTAAATTTAAATGAATCTTACACATTATATTTATTTTCTAAAATTAACAGAAAATTGAAAGGATAAAAAAAATTTGCAAGTCATATCAAGTATGGGAAATGGCTGGCCTAAAGATAAAGCATGAGAAGTGGGGTGGGAGCTCATTCAGCGATTAAAAGAATACAAAGAAAGGCAGAAAGAAAAAGAGGAGCAGCAAAAGTGGATAAGATAAGAAAAGAATAATTTCCCAATTCGTATACTCGACGGTACAAGGAATAAGCCCACATGTACAAGAGGTTGCTTCATCCCAAAAAGGACAAATAGCTCCATAATTAAGGAACAAGATTCCAGAAAAAAGATTTTGTTCATTGTTCTACTTCGTTGATTTAATTTTTCACGGGAATAAAAATCAACAAAAAGTCAAGAGATAAAATTGTTCAAGATACTAGAAAATGACTGTGATTTTTTATAATAACAAACCTATACAACCAAAACATATAATAAAATTAGCAAGAGAAATTTATAATGAAAATCAAGAAAAACTTGTTGCAAATTGATTTTATTATGAACTATATTCTATCTCGAATAATAAAACTTTTGTGAAGAATTAGTATTTTGCGAAGAAACATTGTTTATCACAAATTTATTTTCTTGTAGTGAAATGAAATCAATGCAGCAAGAAGGAAAAAGTAATCACCACGTCCCCAGAGTAAAACCGCGGGAATTTAAGAATACATTTTCATAATCAGAGATAATACTGAGAACAGAAAAACTCACTATGTGCCCCACATTACCACATCATCAAAAACATCAATAAACCGAAACGAGCAATCTGATGAGAGTATACTCTCGGCAAACAATCACGAAAACAGCCATAAGAACAAGCTAAAATTAATCATCTGCTCACGCATGATAAACCGAAACCAAGCGGATAGAGCTACGAGGATCAGAAAATCTGTTTGTATGTAATTGGAGCCACTACGAGGTTAAAATCTACTTTAAAAGGAATGAGTTGAAAGCCCTTCTGGACCAAAGTTTTTTCTGTACATACACGGATTAGGTAAGCATGCCCAAAATTTCCCAGGGTTATCTGTGCAAACCTTTAGCGTTGCACGAGCCAATCAACCAGAACTAGATTTGGATGTAGGAGAGCACACATAAATTCGTGTACACCACTTAAAATCACAAGAAATAAGCAAAATAAAGTGGAAAAAATAGCGAAAGTAACAAGAATTCTGCTCTCAGGAAAACAACTGAAAACAACCAACAAGCTTAAAGTATCCGCTTCAAATGGACCAATCCAAGAAGTAGCTTCTAATGTGTTCTACAGAATATCATCAAAAACGACCAAAGCAAACTGAAAAAGAGCAACCTAATAACAAGTATTTTCCCAGGAAATTAAACAAAAAGCACACGGGAATAATAATCTTAAGCAATAGCCAAACGAAGTACTTTCTCACGCGCTCTACATAATAATGTCACCAAAAATAGGCAGAACAAGCTGAAAACATTTCGAAAATCCAATAAGAACCATTCTCCGATTAAACAATACAATCAAAACAACCAGAGAAGCTCATCCAACCAAATCTTACTCCAAATGCAGGAGTCGGAGAGAGAACTACATACCTGACAGCGAGAGCAGAGGCAGAGGGAGGAAGGTCGCGAGTTGCGAGAGGCGAGTTGTGAGTCCAGATCTGGTTGACGACTCGTTTCCCCAAGCTGGTGATGCCTCGGCTCTTGGAATTGGCGGCCATACAATGATGATGGAGTTGGGTCCGAAGACGTAATAGAGAGAGAAAGGGATGGAAGGCAAAACACAGGGAGAGAAAGAGTGTGTTGCTTGGCGTGAATGTGATGGGGAAGATGGATAATTTATAGATCCAAGGAGGGAGGGAAAAGGAAGATAACAATTTTTGAGTGCGCGCGCCACAGTGTGATGACTCCTATCTGTTTGTTGGTTCGTTTGTTACCTAACACGTACCGCGACGTTCATATCTAACTCTTTTTTTTTATTTCTTCGCCTTCGTTGCAGGATTTTTGTTTGATACAACGCCTCCAAACAAGCACTACCTAAATGCGTTGCAGATTGAAATTTCTTTCCCAAAATACCCCCAGTTTGCTTGTTTTTAGGAGTATTTCATTTAAAAATTGAGGGGGGAAAAACCATTACAAATTTTACTCTAGAGAAGGAACTTGCCAAACTTTTAAATGTACTACTCCTCCATAACATTTTTTTTGTGTGATATACTGGAAAACAAAACAGCAAACGAAGCAAAAACAAGAGAGCAACATTTTGTATGGACCATGCGGGTCCCCTTTTTTTTTTTAAAAAAAAATATTTGATGATTTTTTTAAAAAGTTGTTAATATTAGGACTTAGTTATTGAATACTTATGGGAAGGAATATTTTGTTATCATATATCTATTTTGATATTTTGTTGGGATAAATATTTAGTGATTTTAGTAGTATGATATTATAATAAATTGTAAGGATGTGATTATTTTATTAGTGATTTAAGATATCAAATTGATATCTAGTTCTTAGTGAAAATTTAAATTATTTTTTATTTTTTTTATTTCTCACTGGTTTGACTCCTGGTTTGACTTCGGTCTGACCCACTGACTCTTGACTCATTGTCTTAACTTGATAAATTGTCAGTCTGGGTTTCAATACCTTGATTCTCCACTATAAGACTTATCATTACATGTGCTCAAGTTGTTATTAGGACCTTTTAGGAATTATTTTTTTCTGTGAGACTTGATTGTAATTCTTCCTAAAAAAATGACAAAAAAAAACTAAAAATTACTAAATGCTTCATAAAGAATGTCAATAAAAATTTATTCACTAAGAAAAGTATTACTACTTCCGGTCCTAATTATAAGAGCTAGTTGACTAATCTGAGAGATTAAGGAAAGACGTTAAGTTAGTTATTGTAATAAATAGATGTTGTCTTTCGTAAAATATAGTTAGTTTATTTGTAATAAATAGATGTTGTCTTTCGTAAATATATTTGTTAATCAAATATATTGGCTAGAACTATAATTGCTAGAAGGACTACCTTGAAAAAAAATATATAAATATGAGAGAGAAAGTAGATTGGAATCTTATATTTAGAACCAAAATAAAAGTCAGACAAGGTCTTATATGAAGGACCAGAGATAGTATTATTAAACCTGATTTAAGATTTAATAATTTTAATCTTTCTTTTTTGTTATTTTCCTAGTTTATTACCCTTCAGAGTTAAATAATTAATTTGAAAAGATTAAAAAATAAATTAAATTGATTACTTTTAATAAATATATGCTGATTTTCCTAAACTATATTCTCTAATTGTGTGCATGAGAATTAAATTTTGGTGAGAACCTCCTACAATTAATAAAAATATTTTAGAATAAAACTATGAATTTGAAAGATAAAATAGATTGACTTGCTATATTTAGGACTAAATTCTACTGTTTAACTAATTTTTATATTAAAAATTGAGGTAATATTCACAAGATGAAGGATAAACTTTTGGGAAGATTAGGAAATTTGCATTTAAAAATTTGACTGGGGAATGGTTTCTGGAAAAAGACAAAGCAATGAGGTGTGATGGCCAAAAAAATCAGAGAAACTTTTGAAGTTTAATAAATGAAAACGAGGGTTAGGAAAAAGGAAAGAAAAAACCACTTGGGACGTACAAGTTTGTGTCATAAGACGTTTTTAAATAACATGTATCAATAAGAGTTGATCAGTTGCTAAGAAATTAACCCATAACTCAAAATATATGTAAGATTGTGGGTTTGAATTCTGCTACTAATATAAAAATTCTATTTATGAATGATCTGTAAATACTTTTATAAGTGTTTTCACGAGTTCTCTTAGTTGATTTTAAAAGCAATTTTTATGCTATAATCAAATTTCAGAACCATTTGACCTTGAATTGTAAATATTTGTGAATGGTATCACTACTCTTAATTTAATGAAGGGCATAGTTAGACCAACACACGTCCCATTGTTTTTAATAATTTGAATCAAAACATCCCTACGAAAACTTCTTTATAGTATTCAAGACGACATGCAGTTTCAAGTTTTTATTTTTTTGTCATTCATGCGATTGTTGGTTCAAATTGTAGCCCTATTGAGCTTAAATAAGATTGCCCTGTCTCCCCCCCCCCCAAAATAAAAAATTATTACCACATAATCTTCACTTAAAAATATATACCTCTTGGTCAACCTAATTTTTTAGTATTTCTTGTTTGCCACCTTTCATTAATAGAAATGATTCATGCACACACCATATAAAATTGGGTTAAAATATATCCAACACTCCAAAATATTTTCTTATTACATCGAGCAATTTAAAATATTTTGTAATACATTTAACATCTTAAAATATTTTTTTAAATACGTCTAGTGTCTTAAAGCCTTTTTTATACATTCAGTACCCTAAAATATTTTTTGAGGCATCCAACATCAAGACAAAAATATTTTTTAAAAGTGCTAGATGCTCTTGAAAAATACTTCATGATCTGGATGCGCTCAAAAAAATATTTTGGAATGCTAGATACACTTTAACGCCATAATATTAGAACTATCTATCACTATTCTTCACTTTACTCTAATAGGACATGAATATAAATTATTTACCATATTTATTAAAAAAGTTAGATGAATGGTATATTTCTTCTAATATTTTTTAAGAAGTTTAAATATTCCGTAGAACGCATGAAAAATGTTTCTAGTTACGTCACACACACACACACACACGTCTAATATAAATATTTAGACCCCAAATACCCTCTCCTCCGCTCCCAATTATTTCAGACCCTCGGAAGTATTATTTGAAATATGAAAATAAAACAAGTAAATCAATTTCAATGCAAAGCATGCTTTTCAACCAAAAAAAAAAAAGCCAAACAAGCTGTTTTTTGATTAAAAAAAAAAAGTAAGTTGAGCACAAAGATACGTATGATGTAACTAGGACTTTGCTTTTTTACATAATCCATCAATCTAAAAATAAATACTACCTCTAATCATTAATATAAGACCTTATTTGACTTTTGTTTTAGTTCTAAATAAAAGATCCTAATCTATTTTTTTTTCATATTTATTTATTTATTTTTAAGATAGTTCTTCTAATAATAGTAGTTCTAGCTAATAAACTTAATTAGTAAAGATATATTAGGAAAGACAACATCTATTTATTACAAATAATTAATTTAACTTAGTTCTTTAATATATTTAAATTAGTTAATTAGTTCTTGTATTTAGGATCAGATAAAGTAATAATTAATAAAGTGGGACACTAAACCTCACGAAAGCTTTACCTGATTAATAAATGTTCATTTAATTGGTGAAAGATTGCTTTTATACCTAACATTGAAGGGCATGCAAGATGCAATTGAGCTTCCTTATGATGTAAGGACTTTGCTAATAGAAAATTAAATTTTTTCATAATAAATTCTAAAAAATTGGCTTACCTAAATTATATATTACTCCTTTCAATTCTAAATGGAACAAGTTAATAGAAGAGTTTGATTTGATTCTAAATGTAATTCTTAATCTGCATAAATTTTTAAACTTCAAATTTTTTTATTAAAATCTCCCTATTAATTGTACTTTTAAGAGATATTTTATCGAGAGAGTAGTTTTCAATGCAAATTATTAAAAATGGATATTTAAGAAAAATAAAACCACAAATTTTTTAATAAATAATTAACTTAACTATCTTTTAATATTTATAAATTTACTATTTAGCTCATAAATTTAATATTATATAGACAATATAAAACAATTATATATGCTTCGCTCTTTTACGGCCTCTTTTCCCTCTCGCAAAATTTTGAGTTGTTCTAACAATATTTTCAAATTTTATAAATTAAAATTTTACATAAACCGTGTAGAACTTAAAACCCAAATAAATTATAAAGCATCGATGAACATTACTTCTTGCACAATAATTGTGTTTAGATATGCTAGAATAAGGATTATATTTATTTATATCTATTATATCTATTTCTCCTATCATAAATAACTATGTGTTTATTTTAAAATAATAGCATTTAATTATAAACCTATATAGATAAAATAGGACACATAGTAATATGTGAAAGAAAACATAACATAATAAATATAAAAAACTTAACCTAAATATCTTTGTTAAAAATAAAAGTTATATTTTTTATGTTAAAAAATGTGCATTTTTTATTAAAAAAAATTTAATTGAATCGAATCGAGAGCTCATTAAAATCAGAGCATACTGTCAAACTCAAAAAACGTTTATAAATATTATAAATATGCTTACACATGGATACTGAGAATTCATGTGGATACTCGCATTCTTCACTTCTTATTTTCTTATGTTCGTGGGGCCCAAAATGGTTGCCATGCCAATCACGTGGATTATAAATTAGGGAACGGTATTGACTTCTTTTATTGTTTTTTTCCTCAATAATATTGCTCTAATAAGTGCTCAAAAAAAAAATTGCTCTAATAAATGATGGCTCAGCTACGATATCCATGTCCCACATCATTTTGGTTTTATTACAATTTAATATTGGGATATTATATAATTGATTATTTTTCCAGCGAGGGGACTTATATATTTTTCATATAAAGTGTCAAAAAAGTTCAAACAAATTTTGTAATATGAATATTACTATATTAGTATCTGCTGTGTACACCGTATATTCTAATTATTGTTAGGAAAAAATAACTCAACAGTCCTTATAGTTTTACATAATTTTTTTTATTAGATCCTTTGAGCTTTTTTACTGGGTCTTTATGGTTTTATTAATTATAAACGTTAGTCTTTATACTCATAATTTTGTTAACTATAGTTTAATGTGGTAAAGAC